CAGCAGGCCTGCTGTGCTCTCCCGCGGCTCGCGGGGCCCTGCCGTCTCCGCCCACGTGCGCTCAGCGGCTCTGCCGTCGTCCGGTGGATTTTCTGAGCTGAGGTTCTCTGCCCTGAACTGGTTGGAGCGGGGCGTCTGTCCCTGAACCACCGGCAAATACCAACTGCTCAGATTTTAGAGAAGACACTGGATTTAAACCTTCCCAGTGGTCTCCCCCTTGCTGGAGTTTTAGTGTCACAACATCTCCATCCCTGGCCGTCTCGTCCGGCCGGGCTGCCCTCCCGACTCCATCCCCCTCACTCCTGCCACGGTGCCGCTGGCCTCCTGCCCTGGGACTTTGCTTGCGCTGTGAGGTTGGAAGTCAGGGCGGCCTGGACAGCGCTGGGCAGGCCTGGGCTCGGGCCCCAGCTCCAGCCTCAGCAGCTGCTCACCATTCCCAGAGCCTCAGTCTCCTCATCTGTAAATGGGAATCACTCCCTCAGGCTTTGGGGCTGGGAGGTGCGGAGAACATCCGGCCCAGAGCAGAGATAAATGCTGTTTCTTCCTCCTTTCCTCGAAGACTAAGAATTAGCTAATTGAGAAGTCATAAAGAGAAAAACAAATACTGTATGCTGACACATATATATGGAATCTAAAAAAAAAAATAGTCCTGAAGAACCTAGGGGCAGGACAGGAATAAAGACGCAGACGTAGAGAATGGACTTGAGGACACGGGGACGGGGAAGGGTAAGCTGGGATGAAGTGAGACACTGGCATGGACATATATACACTACCAAATGTAAAACAGATAGCTAGTGGGAAGCAGCCGCATAGCACAGGGAGATCAGCTCGGTGCTTTGTGACCACCTAGAGGGGTGGGATAGGGAGGGTGGGAGGGAGACGCAAGAGGGAGGGGATATGGCGATATATGCACATGTATAGCTGATTCACTTTGTTATACAGGAGAAGCTAACACACCAATGTAAAGCAATTATACTCCAATAAAGATGTTAAAAAAAATTAGCTAGTCGAGAAATGCAAATGCAATCAGAAAAGAAGAAAAAAAAGGAAAAAAAAAACACAGACGAGAAAGAGACCTGGGGTCACTCTACCGATTTTGCTCAACTGCAAATAATGCAGCTGCTTTCTGTGGTGAATAGGAATCACGGAGTAGCTTTTGTTTCTATCCAAGAAGAGATCAAAATGGACTTTATATTCCAACAAATATAAAGCCATAAACAGAACAACATGGCCCTCTCGCAGAAGTGTTATGCCCCTAGATGACCGACAGAGGGCAGAGCTGTGCAACCCTCAGCTGCCCTAGATCCGGAGGGCAGAGAAAGTCCAGCCCTCTGAGATGGAAGATGGCGTGGGTGGTGCAGAGGAGTAATGGGGGGGCAGGCATCGGAGTGCCTCAAGCCAGCATGGAAGAGCCGGCTCAGGGCTTTCTGGACAAGGTACCAGCCGGGAGAGCTCAGAGCTTGGGCCAAGCCACTGAACCTGGGGATCCTCGTCTGAAAGTGAGGTGCTGCTTAGCTGCCATGGGGCGGTGAGGACACCTCAGTGCACAGAAGTTCCTGGAAACGAATCAGTGCACTCAGTCACCTTATAGAACGGAAGCCAGAAAACCATCACAACTCTCATTTCCAAAGAGGGGGACGATAGATTCCGGAACCTACATCGGGGTGAGTGTGATGGTGGTCCCCGAGTCCAGATGTGTAAACATCTGTAATAAAGACAACAGCTGGTGCCTTTTCAAAGCTTTATGCACGTCATCTGCTTGGAAGTTCTCAGCAGCCCGAGGTAGGTGCTGTGGTTACCCCCATTTAAAGATGGGAAAATGGGCAAGACGAGGGTAGGTGGTTTGCTCCAGGCCACCCAGCTGGGAAGTGGTGGGGTCGGGATTTGAACCCGGCACTGGCTGGAGCCAAAGCTGGTGGCGTCAACCATTATGGCACCTACTGCCTTTCAGAACAAAAACCGCCCATGAACAAGTCAGAGCAGGTCAGCCCCAAGGCCACTTGCAGCCCTGGAAACGGAATTCATCTGAATTCCAGAGCAGCCCAAGACTGTTGGACAACAGGCTGGAGAGACCTGGGGTCTGTCTGAACCACAGACCCCAGAGCAATGAGGAGAGCAGTGCACGGGAAAGGAGGGGAGAGCAGCCACCCCACGGGTGGGGTCTGTAGGGTGCAGGCAGGGAATGCCAGGGGGAGCAGGCTCTGCGCTGGGGAGGGGTGGAGGGTGGCTGCAGCCTTGAACCCAGGGCGCTGTGTTAACTGACTAATGACAATCTACTGAGCTCTTACTGTGAGCCCACCATACTGCCAGGCACAAGTCGAGGAAGATCTGGTGGTCAGAGTGATGGCTTGAGAGCAAGTGGGATGGAAAACAGGTCTGGGAGAGACTGTCCATGCTCGTGTTACTGCATCCCCCTGGCGAGGATGCCCCCGGGCAGTGGGTTGTACTCTTCCATAGGATGTAAATTCACAACGTGAGGAGGGTCCGTGAGTGAACTTCTGTTGCCTCCAAACCCAGCTGCTGTCTGACTGTGCTCCTGCCTGGCTGCCATTGCCAGAAGGACAACATACGCACAAGTGGGCAGTCTGACCATCCCTCAGAGGAAGTGGGCAGCTGGGCTGTTTCAGCCATCTTCTGCCCTTCTAGGGCTTGTAGGGTAAGTGTGGGAAGTGAAGGGGGTTCCCTGTAACACACATGAAGTGAGGGGGATTTCAGCCCAGTGCACCGTAACGGAAGCGTCATAAGCTTTCCCTTCAGTCATGTGGACTGAGGCGCGGAGTCCTTATCCAGCCATCTATATCCATCAGCTCAGTCCGCTCCGGCTGCTGTAACAAAATACCACAGACTGGGTGGCTTAGAACAGCAGAAACTGGTTGCTGACAGTTCTGGAGGCTGGAAATCTGAGATTGGGGGGCAGCACGGTTGGATAAGGGCCCTCTTTCAGCTGCAGAATTGCCTAGGGAGCTTCGTGAGGTCATGAGGTATAAGGACACTAATCCCATTCAGGAGGGCTCCACCCTCATGACCTAATCACCTCCTAGAGGCCCCACATCCTAATGCCATCACCTTTGGGGGTTAGGATTTCAACATGTAAATTGGTGGCACATAAACATTCAGAGGACGGCACCATCCATATCCACCCATCCACCATCCAGTCTTCACAGAACACCTAAATGTAACACATTATAAGAAATAAGTTTTTGGGGTTTTTTTTGCGGTACGCAGGCCTCTCACCGTTGTGGCCTCTCCTGTTGCGGAGCACAGGCTCCGGACGCGCAGGCTCAGTGGCCATGGCTCATGGGCCCAGCCGCTCCGCGGCACGTGCGATCTTCCCGGACCGGGGCACGAACCCGTGTCCCCTGCATCGGCAGGCGGACTCTCAACCACTGCGCCACCAGGGAAGCCCAAGAAATAAGTTTTGATAAAAATGGAAAACTACTGATGGCTGTGGAAGCTGGGTGGTATGTACCTGGGGTCATTACACTATTTCCTCCACTTCTGTGTATTTTGTTTGAAGATTCCCACATAAGAGGCTGAACAAAGATAAGGCGTGCAATGTGGGAATCAGGGGCTACGGTCTCAGGGGCCGCCTGCCACACGGAAGCAGTTGGTGCCTTAACTTTTTCCAAGCTCCTGGAGGGCGGTGGCTTCAGGCCTGCAGAGCCCAGGGGCCTTCACTACCAGCTCAAAGCAAAACCAAGAAGGAGGGGGCTGCTTCCACCAGGATACAGAAAAGGCACAATTTCTAGCAGTGACCGCAGTCATGTTGTTTGTTACCAGGCAACCAGTGACACGAAGAAGACAACAGAGGTGGTCCAGGGACGGGTCTGGAAGGTGAAAGGCAAGGAAGGTGGGGACCTGCTGCCTGACTCAACTTCACACCCCCTTCCTCACCCACAGTCAGCAGCGCCTCTGCCGTCACCTCTGTCCTCAGGCCACACGCCCCAGGCCCGCTTCACAGAGCATCAAACCTGCCAACGGGCTGGCTGGGGACCAAGGGCACGGCTAACGAGGTCTCGGACCTCAAAGACGACCACTATGCGATCGTAACCACGTGTTTAATGCTTCACAGGACAAATCTGTTCTTTGCTACGGAACTCATCACGAACTTGAATCGCTGTAACTGTCAAGTCTATAATGCAATTTAAGCCCCGGGCGACAAGAGCTCCTGTGCCCAATAACTTGGCTTGGTGAAGTTTGTGCAAAGTCACAAACCTTTTCATACGTTCACGGTCTCCAGAATTCAACTAGTGAAGTGTAGCACAGCCCTCTACCCCTTTGCAATCAGCAGAGAGAAACGGCTAAAACGATCATGGCTGAATCACGTTCTACGCTGGAAGGAACATCTGTTCTCACCTGGGCCACCTGCCCGGGTCCCAGAGCGGCTGACCCATCCACCTTGGGACAAGAGCCAGCAGAGGCTCCATGGTTTCTGAAGACCATCCCAGGGCAGGGCGCCAGGCCGAAGGCCACGATGGAATCTCCTGGAGAGAGCACAGCATCCCCATCCAGCCCACGTCTACTTGTACCCACCACTACCTTGCAGCGGTAACGCATCTTCCCTCGCGCAAAGCCCGGGCCCGGCCTTCCGGTGTGACCCCGCCACAGGCCAGAGAGCACAGTTCAAGTCTGGTTCACTCCAGAAGCTCCTTTGGGTATATAACCCCATTCCCGACCCCTCGGAAAATTATCCTCTTCCAAGCCGGGGACATTGGCTTCAGCAAAGGTGATTTAGAGTTTGCTGTTCTTCTGAAACTGGGCCACCAGGCTGAGGACCTGCTCCGAAGCCTTGATGCTCTTGGAGCTGAGGTAGGTGGTCCTGTTGGTGGCCGTGTCCTCCAGGACGTAGCGGTAATTGACCATGAGGCCACATGAGCCCATGATGCCCTTGGGGCTGACGTCGGCCATCCAGTTGATGCGCCACATCACGGCCCCGTTCTGCAAGTGGAAGTTGGCCACGGGGTTCAGGGCGTAGCCCCGGTGCTTCTCCCCGTACAGGTACCAGGCGCAGAGCCGCATCAGGGGGGCCTGGAGCGCCCGGACCAGCTGCTCAGACTGGACCCACTCGCTGCTGCTGAGAAAGGTCTTGAGGGTCTCATTCACGGGACCGCCCGTGATCTTGGAGATTTCTTTACACTCTGAATCTGTCAACAGTTCGTTCCTCCCATGATCCTTTGCTTTTGACTTCAGCAGCCCCAGAAGCCACTTGGTGAACCCGGGGATAGGGGACAGACTTGCAAACGTCCCCAGGTGAGGAAACTCCTTCTGCAGGGCACAGTTGGGGTGGGGAAAGGAAGGTGGAGAACACACACACACACACACAATTCAGCAAGTGAGTCACGGATTCAGAAACACCTCCTCATTTCTCGCTTACGTTATCATTAACCTCCGTGTGCTGCTGTGTGGTTTACAAAGTGATATTTGATGCGCACGAATCTTCTTTCAAGGAACAGTTATTAAGGATCTGATGTGTGCCAGGTCCTGGAGGCATCCTGAGTCCCCAGGACAAGCCTTTACTGTGCGGTCTCCATCTGCACCACTATCCACACCGGCAAGGTGGGGGACCTGCCTGAAACTGGAGGGGTGGGCTGCTACGATGTGGGGTGCTGTCTTCTGACTACAGGTCTTGTCTTTCTAGCCCACCAGGCCCCTCCCATGGACTTTGCTGCCGCCACAGAACCTGGTTTGGTGCTTGGCACACAAGTACCCGGTGACTGCTGTTTGTTGAATGAATAACTGATCGCTCAACTATATAGCACAGTGGGTGCAGAGGATGGGATAGAAGGGGAGGTAACAGTTATGTCTCCACGTCAGATAACATGGTTCAATCACTGTTGTTCAAATTACAGAGAGATCGCAATGATCATTTCGAAGAACTCAGTATTTTCCAATTAAAAATGTAATATATGCTCACTACAGAAAAATTTTTTTTTAATTTAGGACGGAAGCAAAGAAACCACCATACTCTCCAGGTTTGATAAGAGTATAACTCCTGGTCTTTCTCTAGGCAATTTTTGCAAGGGCAAGACAGTTATTTTACATCCTGCTTTGTGCATTTATATCATGAGCGCTTTCTCACTGTCACTCAAAATTCAGAACCGTAACTTTAACGACAGAACAATATTAAAAGATAAAACGATCCCATGACTTTTCCTAACCCTGTTCTTTTCACTGGGCATTTAAGGTGCCTCCTCCATAAACCTCCACAAACACCTCTGTGGAGGAAGGGCTGCCCTTCCCTCCAGATTTCTCAGGTGACTCTCCGGCTCCCAGCCGAGACGGGGAGAAGCGGTCAGCAGCAGGATGGCTCCTGGGCTGCCTGATTCAGAAAAAGAATCTGCTGTATCACCCAGACCCCGGAGCCTGCCCCTCCTCCGACTGCCTTTCTGCCTCACACCAGCCCTGCTACCCGCCCACCCTCGCCCCAAGCATTAGCACCTTCAGCAAAGAAGCAGGAAATAAAAGAAGAAACTCAGAGCGATCAGATGTGCTTCTTATCGCCTCTGGGGAAAAAGCGGCAGGGAGTGATTCTAACAAAGCTGATACCCAACTGAATCCCAAGTTCTCAGACTTAAAACTGTGAATTTAACACGGACCAGGCAAATATTTAAATTCCACCCTATCTGTCATTCTCTGAGGAAGAGCTTCTGCAGCAACTGTCTGTGTTGAAACCACCAGAAGCGGAGAGTGCTGCTGTCAGGGCCAATTAGTCATGATCTAATTATTTTACCTAAAAATTAGATTCTACACATTAGAGTTCATTCCAGCCCCTCATGAGAGAGTTTTAAAAAGCCCAAACCCAGCGTGGACCTGAACATTTCTGTGTTTCCCAGGGCAACCAAGAGAAGGCAATTATAAAAAAAACCAGGTGCCAGTGCATTTACCCTCCAACTGCCCGATCGAAGTCGAACCTCGATGCTCCCTCCCGGGCCACGAGTGGGTGAGGGTGGGTAGGGAGGTTGGCACGGCCAGGACTGGACAGTGGGAGCGAAGGGGGCCCTGCTGGCGACTATGCCGGGACAGCGCGCGCCCATCAGGAGCTGCCCCGCCAGCCCGGGTGCAGGGTCCCCTGCAGAAGCCGCCGCCCCCAGGACGCATCTGGATTTGTGGCCCATGAGAAGCCGGCTTTGAGGGCCTTTTCCTCGGCACCGCTCGCACCCCCTGACAAGTCTCGGGGCTCCTAGGAAGTGCCAAGGGGCACCTGGCACTTTTCCACCCCTCCTGGTCGCTCCGGCCCAACAGCTTCACCCTGTCCGCAGAGATGAGGGCGGAGCTGCTGAGCCATCCCAAGGTGGGGACACGGACAGCGGTGCGGCGGGGTCAGGGTCGAGCCTCACTCACCTGCAGCTCCTTCACCACCCGCTTGATGAGGAAGGCACCCAGCTCCACGCCCTGCAGCCCCTGCTGCGTCAGGCTCAGCGAGTACAGGACGGCCGTGGTGATCCTGTCCCGCTCCTCTGTCTCCGACGCGGGGCTCTCCTTCACTACGATGGTCTGGAAAACATAAAGGACGGTGACGGGCAGCCGTGGATGCACCCGCCTCGCCCTCACCCCTCCTGGGGGTCCCTCGACCCAAGGACCAGGCTCTCGAGGCAAGCACCTTGTTCTGAGACCTCTCTGGAGGCGGTGGTGGTCTCACAACTTCCCTGGCTGTTTGCTCAATGTTGTATCATTTCTACCACTTTTTGAAATTCTCCCACAAGCTTCGCTGAATCACAACTGATGTCCTCTAGGTCTCTCTCAGGGGAGGTCTCTCTCTCTCTCTGTGCAATCTGCTGCCCTCCGACACCCCCAGACAGCATGCCAGCCCTCTGCCAAGGCCAAGGGCCCCACTTCCTGCGGCTCCTGTGCGCAGGCTGCCCACTGCGTCCTGCAGGCCTCCCCCCTCCCCTCTGAATCCTAGTTGTTTACATTTCCCAGTAAGCCGGACGCAGTCCTACCTAAGTTTTCTTTCAGGAAATGTACCTTTTTATGCTTTTCCTATGTACCTTTTTGGTTTTCTGCCACGTCCCTATATTTCCACAGTGAAACCACACGCCTGCACAGACACGTACGAGAAGCGATCTAAGGGTCAGCATGACTGGTACGGGAGGTTGGCACGGCCAGGACTGGACAGTGGGAGCGAAGGGGGCCCTGCTGGCGACTATGCCGGGACAGCGCGCGCCCATCAGGAGCTGCCCCGCCAGCCCGGGTGCAGGGTCCCCTGCAGAAGCCGCCGCCCCCAGGACGCATCTGGATTTGTGGCCCATGAGAAGCCGGCTTTGAGGGCCTTTTCCTCGGCACCGCTCGCACCCCCTGACAAGTCTCGGGGCTCCTAGGAAGTGCCAAGGGGCACCTGGCACTTTTCCACCCCTCCTGGTCGCTCCGGCCCAACAGCTTCACCCTGTCCGCAGAGATGAGGGCGGAGCTGCTGAGCCATCCCAAGGTGGGGACACGGACAGCGGTGCGGCGGGGTCAGGGTCGAGCCTCACTCACCTGCAGCTCCTTCACCACCCGCTTGATGAGGAAGGCACCCAGCTCCACGCCCTGCAGCCCCTGCTGCGTCAGGCTCAGCGAGTACAGGACGGCCGTGGTGATCCTGTCCCGCTCCTCTGTCTCCGACGCGGGGCTCTCCTTCACTACGATGGTCTGGAAAACATAAAGGACGGTGACGGGCAGCCGTGGATGCACCCGCCTCGCCCTCACCCCTCCTGGGGGTCCCTCGACCCAAGGACCAGGCTCTCGAGGCAAGCACCTTGTTCTGAGACCTCTCTGGAGGCGGTGGTGGTCTCACAACTTCCCTGGCTGTTTGCTCAATGTTGTATCATTTCTACCACTTTTTGAAATTCTCCCACAAGCTTCGCTGAATCACAACTGATGTCCTCTAGGTCTCTCTCAGGGGAGGTCTCTCTCTCTCTCTGTGCAATCTGCTGCCCTCCGACACCCCCAGACAGCATGCCAGCCCTCTGCCAAGGCCAAGGGCCCCACTTCCTGCGGCTCCTGTGCGCAGGCTGCCCACTGCGTCCTGCAGGCCTCCCCCCTCCCCTCTGAATCCTAGTTGTTTACATTTCCCAGTAAGCCGGACGCAGTCCTACCTAAGTTTTCTTTCAGGAAATGTACCTTTTTATGCTTTTCCTATGTACCTTTTTGGTTTTCTGCCACGTCCCTATATTTCCACAGTGAAACCACACGCCTGCACAGACACGTACGAGAAGCGATCTAAGGGTCAGCATGACTGGTACTGGGAGGTCCCTTAGCCAAGTCCGACTTGATGGGCTCTGAGATGTGAGTGCGGGGCGTTCTGAGCTTTAATACCCTGAAGGCCACTGGACAGTAGTGGTGGAGACCTTGCAGTTGGTGTGGACACAGGCCCGCCAGCCTGCTTCTGAAGGACACGCTTACGCTGCTCTAAACTCCTACCAGCTACCCTGGACGCTTGAAGTAGGGGAGTCTGGCCCAGAGTCCAGGCTGAGGTCTGGAGCCCACAGACTTTCTTAAATCGCCAATGGGACGTGTGGGTCTGCGTGTACCCCCCCTGGGGTAAAACATCCTCAGCTCTCATCCCCTTCAGACGCTCGGAGGGTCTTTTCTGTGACTCTTGGGAAGCCATGAACCGTCGCCATAAGGAAAGTTGGGCGGATGGTGACGCAGAGGCTGTGACATCCGGGGCCCCACCAGCCTCTCCTGCACCGGCAGCTGATGGAGGAGCCCTCCTCCCATCATTCCTCATCTTGTTGGATCACCTCCTTTATTTTTCAAGGTTATCTCGTGGTTTTGGACTCAAAATTTGTCTCCAGCAAATCTTTTTTTAAAAGTTTTTTTTAAAAAAACCCCCAAAACCCAAACAGACAAACCTTTCTTTGATTATACGAATGAGATATGCATAATATCAAAGAGGCAAGAAATAAATGCATGAAGAAGAAATCACAAATCGCTCCAGAACTGAACACCAAGTCCTACTGTTAACGTTTTGGGGAGCGCCTCTCCAGGTCGGTCTCACTGGCCCCAGGCAGGTACACAACGTAAGTACACGTGCATACAAAACCACGTACACACGCAGTCTCTCACGTGTGAGTCCGCATGCGCAAGTCTCCTCACACGGAAGGCACCTGCCCTCAGGGCTGGGATCCCGGCCCCCCCACCGTCCCCACTTCTTCCATCATCCTGGGCAAGTCTCTGCAGTCCCCTCCTAGCCTCGGAGTCCCCACGTCTAAGGTGAGGACAGTAACGATAACAAGCCTGAGTCATAAGGCGCTATGAGCAGTCACACAGGAGGGCGCACCGCGGGCAGACGGGGCAGAGCAAACGCTCGGTCGACGGAATTCATGCTACGCAGAAGGTCACACCAGATGGGCTGGGCTGGAACCTGAATCTTCAGTCAATAGTAAGTCAAGGTTGACGTGCCAGGTCAAAAATAGAAAGCTAAATCCACACCTAAGCCCACACGTCGGACCGCAGGGTCTGTGAGGACAGGCCAGACGCACACGCCGTCGTTCCCTACAGCAGCCTCTCCCGGTGGGCACTTGGGTTATCACTCCCACCTCCAGATGATGCTGCAGTGGGCAACCGCCCAAACTCTCAGCTCTGAGCCTCTCCTGGGATAAACTCCCGAGAGTGGAATTTTTAGGTCAAAAGGAACACACGTTTTATATTTTAATAGTTATTACCAAACTGCCCCCAGGGAGGCCGTGATAACTTCTAGTGCGTTATCACAGTGCAGGCGCCTCCAAACAAGCATCGTACGGGAACGTCTCCCTGCTGACGAGTCCTCCGCCCTCCGATGCCAGGAGACGCTGCCCAGCGCCCGCCTGACATCTGCCATCAACTCTCAGCCTCCTAACAGGCCATTCCGACCCCGAAGCCACAGTGACCCAGGTGTGCCCACTTCCCCTCAACGGACCTGCTCTGCAGCCGCAGCCCCTGCCCCCCGTGGGCCTGCGGACTGAGTGTTTCAGACACTCACCAATGCCTCGAGGAGAAGCCCAGCTTGCTCCGGGGGGGGGGGGACCC